AATCTTGATACAAGATCATGCTGGTCCTTCAAAAACCCTTCCCACTATGTCCTCTCTCCCCAGCACCTGGCCCATCAGCTTCAGCTGGATCACAACGGGGTGAGAAGTGGTTCTGAGGCATGAGGGGGGATTAGGCCACTTTGTCAGGCCAAATTCAGATACCCCACAAGCACATGCAGCCATTGTGCACGGGAACGGGGATTTGCCCCTTCCTATGGGGATGAAATTTATGCTAAAGACAAGGTAAAGTCAGGGCAACCCCCTCGTGCATCATGGTGTAACAATCTGCATGAAAACACAGCTATTGATATAATCAGGTTTCCCATCCCTAACATTCTTCTTGTTCTTCTCTTGCTTTAATTTTTGCTGATAAGAGGTAGCTCATTATTTGGGGGGAAGGGGAGGCTGCCTGTGTTTTTTTCACATTAAACTGTGGCAGCGGTGTGCACTTCCCCCCTCTCACCGGGTAAGCTGCAGCACAAAGGCTTGGGGCTGATCTCACATCCTCTGCAACAATTAAAAGTCAAGGCCAGCAGCGAAGCCAAAACTTGACACGCTCTTTTAGAGAACAAAGGTCACTAGATTGAAGTCTTCACTCCCTGCTTTGGCTGAAGCAGCATGAAACATCCTCTTCAAAACCTAAAGCAGTTGAATCTTTATCAGGTGATGATGGCTTTTTGGAGAATAAAGACAACTGACCTCTGTGTCTTCCCTCCTACTGTTCCACAAGAAACCTTCAGGCTGCCTAATTAGTAACAATCATTTTCCAGTAAGTGCTCCTGCCCCATGACAGCCTCATCAGACACCAGGTCCAGAGATAAAGCTCTGATGGCCACTGAGGGCTGGATGGTCACAGCCATGGTTGGCTCCAGCTCCATGGGGAGCAGAGCAGGTTGAGGTGGGCACTGCAGATGTGCAGGTGTGACCTCCACAGCCAGGAGACAGGGGCTGGAGAGGACAACAGCTGGGCAGGAAACGAGCCAGAGAAAGGCTACATTAGAAACCACAGCACTCTTAGCGTTTTTTTGCACAAATAGCACTTTTTGGAAGATTAAATGAAATAAAAAGTCATTACATGGTTAAATGGCTAATTTCATGGCTACAGTCATAAAGCTGACAGAAGCCAGAGCCACCACAGGGAGGCCCTGTCCAAGCCTGACAGCATCAACACCCTCTCAAGAGTGAGGCTTCACAGAGTAATTTGGTTTGGGCTTATTCAACATCAATCCTCAGAGCACGTTGCCTGGTCAGCCCAGGAGTTTCACTCTTGAAAGGGTACAAAAGATAGACTCAGCCATCTTCTTGCTCATCATGGTGTAGGACTAAAATCCATCCCAGACTTTTGGAGGTCCTCCCTGCTTGCTGTCCCATCTTAATGCTCCCTGCTTTGCCCAGCAGAGTGAAATCCTTACGCAACTCAAAGGTAACCTCCAATTCCAGGACACTTTATGTGACTGGTGAACAAGGCCTAACATGATCCCAAGTCCAACTTACCTGGTCAAAACAAGGATGACCCAAGAGGCAGAACCTGCAGTGCTGACCTGAGATTCCCATGGGTTTCATCCTACTCCTTCCACTGCCTGTGACAGACTCTGGGAGTGCAGACTGACTGCATTTCCCCACACACTTCAGTTCACTTCTAGCACAGATTGTGTTCCAGCAGAGAGCATTCCCAACATCTCTCTAGCAGACAGGGAAAACCCCCACAAAAAAGGGTATTTCTGGGAGCTGTTTCCTCCTATCAATCTGAAGAGCAAGAGGCATTTCCCTATCATTAGCCCAACAAAAATAGAAAGCAGAAGGCACCACAGCATCAGATCTCTCACTTCCATGAAGAGCTCAGGCCTGGGATCTTCCCACTCAGGCTCAGACTGCAAAGATGAAACCAAGAAACCCCCAACAGCACCACAAAAGCATTTGGATGCCTCTATGAACTTGGAGACATTTAAATTCAAAGCAACAGTAAAGCAAAAATCAAACTGACTCCTTCCTCCCCCCATTGTGTGGTCATTCCAGCGTGGTGAGAAGGAAGATTCAGGTCATCAAACCACCTGAAAATACTCTGTTGCATTGCTTCTCAGTAGTGCAATGGGTCTGACTGGCCCAGTGCAGGCAGGGAAGAGTGAGATGGCAGCAGACAGCCAGCAGCAGCAAAGGATGCGGGGAGAGAAGGGCCTCCAAAACAAAACTCAGTGGAAAATACCATTTTTATATGAAACAGCCTCTGCTGACAAAAAGTTCTTTGTCCCAACACAAAGAGCATGCTTCAGGCATGAGTTGGTAAGACAGAATTTCCCCCTTGCAATTCCCTGCTGAAGATACACTGCAGAAGCCCGTACTGCCTCCATGTGCCCTACCTGCTCTGGGGTTAAAAGAAAACATTTCCAGTCATGTCCTTACATAAAAAAGTTCTCCATTTTGTCCACTGATCTACTCCACCTTTGCTAAGACAAACCCAAAACCTTCCTGCAGTCCCACTGAAGTGAGAGGGGCTGCACTGCTGGGACTCAGGCAGAGCCACTCTTCTTCTCAAAGCCTCACCTGTGTTAACTAAGGCTCAGAAAACATTTGGGAAAAGATGATGCAGCTTTCAGCAGGCCATAAAAATTAACACCTTAAATTCCAGCATGTAAATTAAGTTTTAAGAACTGTGTCTCCCAGAAAAAAACAAAAAAAACTTAAGTATGGGGGGGGAAACCTCAAATTTTTGTCATTTTTCTTTCATGGGACATGGATGATATTCTAAAAGATTAATTGATAGAGTGTAATAAATTGTATTTTAACTCAATACTGTCAGGATCCTGGATCCAAGATATCCCAAGAAAACTGGAGTCAGGTTTATCAGGCATTAATTACCTACATTAAAAAAAATAATCTCACCTCTTCCTAAAAATCAGTGATTAAAAAAAATTTGACAAAGAAGTCATAATGGATGAACACACGTATGTATTCACCCTGCTCCTTACTAACCACAGCTCCTAATAGGAGATAATGGAAGCTGCTTTCAAATGAAATGTCTAAATGGGCCTAGAGCTTGTTTTCTCCAAACTCAGCCAGGCATTACTGCTGCCACAGCCACTTTCAATCAAGCTTTTACTGCAAAGGAAAACAAAGGAAGAAGTTAAATCCATGGGAGATTTCCAATGAATACTTAAAAATCTTTTCATGGGACAGAGTGAGGGAACTCTGTACCAGCAATGACCTCAGAAATCTTGTGAGTTCACTCCATTGCAGGCTGTTCTCTCTCTCTCCCCTAGATTTTAATTAGCTAATTCAAGGCCTTCTATGGAGGAGGAAAGAGTAGTGCTTAAGCAGCAGAAAGTTCAGCTGAATTTGCTGTGTGCTTGGAATTTAATAGACAAATACCAAGATCCTTTTGGGATCTGTCATTTCCCACAGTTAAAGGTGGATTACACACAGCCACTTGGAGCCTTTCAAAGGACCAGGGACACAGACAGTGTCTTCTTATATCAAAAATATGCTGAGATTTGTGTGCCATCCTACACCTTCCATGGGGAGAGGTGCTGCCACGGCGTTCCCCCACGAATCTGAGTGTGCAGACACACAACACACACCCGAGCCATTCTCCCTGTGTGCCTGTTTCTCCCCCCACAAGCTCTTTTCACCCGCCTGAGGAACAAAGCCAGCGGCTCAAAGATCCAGCAAAAGTGCCTTGTTACGCAGAAGAAAGAGATACTTTAACTCAGCTGTCAATAAGTTTTGCCCATTTACATGTGTGCAGAACACTTTGAATAAATTACGTTTCCAGGATTTAGCTCCACGACAGTGGCCTAACAAAAGGAGACTTACAGCTCCAGGGGAGAGGAGGGGGATGAGGGGGAAACACATTCTGCACAAGACAAAATCCCTTCCAGAACCATGAGGGCAAACTGGGTTGGCGTTTTCCTTTGACGAGCACAACTTTTACATCATTTGCAATCTATTTTCAGACACATTTTCTGCACTTGCATCAAGCACAGAGTGTGGCTTCCACACATGGTCTCTGTGGGGGTGAGGATGGGATGGTTTTGTTTTTTTAATTACAGACACAGCAAAAGTAAAAACAATGGGGGAACCATGGGGTGCTGCTGATGTCAGGTGGAACTGTGCCCCTCGGGGGACCAGTTTTACTTGGAGAGTGAAATCTGCTGTTCCAGCTTTCAGCAGAACCAGCAGCCAACAGAAGCGCTTACAAGACACTGGCTGGGGTTTTTGTTCTTATTTTAAATATGCACACATGTGTCCCCAGGTGACTATTCCAAAGAAAATTTACTTGTGGAGAGTGAAAGCAAGGAGGATGCAGTCTGCTACATCACTATTGGGCAGGAAAAGCAGCTTTCTCATGGACCAGTCCTCCAACACCAGGGGAATCACTTCTGCATTTTCCTGAGCAAGACACCCTAAAGAGGAAAAACTTACTGTGGTAACATCAGTTGGATTATTATGACAAAAACTGGGAAATTAAGTTTCCTGCTTATTGAGAGAAGACTACTAGTTATTAGAGTCTCACCTGTACCCTTTACTTGCCTGCAGGGAAATAATCATATAGAGAGATGCTAGAACAGACTTAATCAAACACAGGTTAGTGCCCCCATAAGAGATCCAGCAGATGAAGCTCCCAGCTCTGTGCCAGGCAGGACAGACCAGCCATTCTAATGGCACACGCTGATCCTCGCATCCTTCAAATTGTGATGCCATGAAATAAAGCCTGGCTGCCCTCCAGGGTTGCACTGGTCACTGACTTTAATAAAAACAAGTGAAGTAAAATAGATCCATGAGGCTGAGAGCTCAGGCAGGTTGTCCACAAAAACAGCAACTGAAAATATCCCCAGCTGACAGACTCCACTGGGCTTCGAGGGCAGCAGCTTGGGATGGGCAGCCAGAAAGAGCTAAAGACTACCCAAAACCTCCCTCCTCAAAGGCAGCAAACATGAATTCCTGACCTCCCTGATATGAAAACCAAATACACTGAAAGCAGGAGGAAAGGAAACCACCGACATCACAGCTTCGTGTTTAATATCAATGGGAACACGGAGAACCTTTCTCCACCGCTTCAAACAAATGAGTGACTCATTCCCTTCTCAGCAGCAACCCTCACAGCCACTGCCAGCCAAAGAAACAACGTGGAAAAAAGAAAAATCCATGTCAATTAGGTGAGTTCTCTGCCCCCAGAACCCACCAGCGAACGGTGCTTGACAAATGATACAGCAAATTTCTCATCGTCCAAAATACCCTCTCTGCAATTACCACCCAGAGCCAGTAAAAACCACTGCCAGAAGCGTGCCTATTTCCATGCTCTTAATCTTATCTGTGGAAGAGGATCCAGGGCATCAGCTTCACTGATGTTTCCAGGAAGAGGAGCCCTAATCAAGCATTTCTGCCCATGAATAACAGACAAGGAATGTCTCCGCTTGGCCAGCAGTAGCCTGTGAAAAATTAAAAAAACATTGTAAAATCGGCTTTGGAAGCAGGGAGAGCTGAGGGGTGATTGCTGTCTTATCTCCACTAGCACAGATGCTGGAAGGACAAGGCTGACCCACAGACAGCTGTCGCTCTGAGACAGCCTAACCAAATCCACAACAGAATGGGTCTACAATCCTGGGTGCCATCACCCAAAACGGAGCTCTCTGCTAACAGATGTTTGTTTTTTTTTCATTAACAGAGCTGTAATAATCACTGATTTTCTTAAAGCTTCAGGTGCTGTTCAGTGCAGAAGTTACAGTCAAAAAACACCCATGTTTTTCAGAGAACTCTGAGCATGCACCAGGAATAGTCAATGGATCAGGTGTGAACCTGAGACTAGCTAGACCCAGACTGAGGACTGGCCCTTTACCTCTGGAAGGTACCAAGTGGGCCAGGTTGACTTTTACTAGAGAATACCCCTGCAAATGTTAACAAGTCCTTTTTCATGCCAGCAGGCTCTGCTCATTCCCAAGCAAACCCCACGATCCCGCATGCCTAGTGGAGAGTCCTGAATGTGCCAGGAATAAATGATGTTGGAGTGCCTGTTCCCAACAAGTAAAAGCACTTCCAAGTGCATATGTGCATGCAGGTTTTGCCATGACACTTTCTTAGAGATCTGATAACACACAGCAAAGGGTCAGCAGTTCTCTCTGGAAGGTTGTGTTGATATCTGCTGCAAGATAACGCACCCTGAAGTCAAAGGAACTTACTTATTTTCTAGGCTCGTTATCAGTTGTTATTGTAAGTAAAGCAGTACTATGTCAAATGCCCCTTCGTTCTGACCTTCCCATGGGCAGGACCCACTAAGATCTCACAAAATGTGAAATAATCATTAATGCAGTCTCTGGCAGTGTTAATAAATCATACAGCTCAACAAAGCCATAAAACTCTACCAAAGGCACACCAATAAACTGCACACTCGAGAACCATTCCACCCCCAACCTCTTCCCTCACATTCCAAAAATGCAGAAAAGCAGCAGTGACGTTGGCTCCATCCTCTAATCCCCAAATCCCTCAATTACACCCAGGGAGCTGAAGATAACACAGATTTAAAGACCTAAAAGGAAGCTTCTTTCAGAGGTAGAAGAAAGGTGTTATATCAACAATCCTGGGTAATGGATTCATTTACCATGACACTTCTCCCTGTGCAGACAGGCAGGCAACACAATGTCTACAGACATTATGCCTCCCTTTCAGAGAGGGGTTTGCTGGTACCTGAGCCTTCTGCAATGAGCTGAATCTTGTGCCATAAGGAAAAAGTTTTGCCTGTGTAAGGAAATGGACTGACTTACATATTAATCCTTCTAACTCTCACTGAAGCCTGAGGGTAAATTCACATATATTGGCTTTAAATTAGCCTTTCCTTTTCCACTTTGAAGAAGCCATTCCTGATTTACACTAGAACACACTCAAAACCAGATCCCATCCTTCACTCTAACTTCTGACACACAGAGCAGAGGCACCTGAGGGGTCCCTCATCTCTCTTTACAGGAGGAAAAGGTCCTTTTAGGGCATGAAGCATCTCGATCCCACACAGGTAGAGTGGGATAAATAAATCCTGCTCTGCAGCACAGCAGGAGCTGGAAGAGCTTCTCTTGTTCCCATTGTCAAAGGGACCGCTGGGGCACAGAACACTTTCTGCTGGTGGCTTTTTCCATCTGCTGCCTTGATTGGATGCCCCCTTTCATGACAGTGGGACTCCAGGCCATGGTGTCCATCTTTTCCAGTTCACACGAAGCAGGAGCTGCTCTATCAGCCCTGTTTCAGGCCACGGTGAAGGCCACCAAGTCCTCTGCGTGCGTCACCAGCCTTGTCAGCAAGGGCAGGATTTGCAGCACTAACCCAGAGAGGAAGGTTTTGCTTCCAGCTCCTGATCCACCACCCACAACTCCTCCTCCTGGATCCAGCTACAGTCCCTCTGCTAGGACTCTAAAAAAAAAAAAAGTTGTTTTCAGGGTCACTGTGAAATGATGTTGTTTTCAGCAAGCAGAACTGCCTGAACCTAATTTACTGTACATCCTGTCTGTGCTTCACAATGAAAACACCACACAAGGTTGCAGGTCAGACCTCTGAGCCCCTCCTGCTTGTGATGCTAATTCCTGCATGGTGATGAGAAAGCCCCAAGGCCTATTAATCCTTCCCACTCTGGGGTATAAATTGATCACCAGGAGGAAAGAAAACCACTTCTTCCCTTAAATACATATTACACACATAGGAGCAAGGAGCTGGTGTGTGAAGCTGCCAGACACAGCTGCTTTGTTGACAGTGACCAAAACACATAGGAATACATATCACAGGAACATCCTTGGATGTTTAACCATGATGTGTCCTCAGGCACACCTGGCAGGGAGGAGCTGGGAGCTCTGGATAAGAATGGCTGAGAATATTAAGCAGCTATGGAGTGAGATAGAGTCTATTCAGCTCTAAAACTCATTGGAGGGGAAAAAAGCTCTGTGGGGACTTGCCTGTGATTTACCTGTAGGCTTTAATTACTGGCACTGCATGCAGATATGCACAAGCTATATATGACTATGGCAGCATCACCATTAGATATCCCAGAAACTTAAATATGGCCAGGACTCAGTTCTTGGGTATATCTAAACTGAGGTGTCAAACTCTCATTACTGTCTACAGAGAGATGGTCAATACTGGCTCAATGCCCTACTTACCAACACCCCCATCAGCTTTGATGGCAGCTCAGACACTGACACATAAATGATTTTATCCATGAGCTGAACACTTCTCATGGTGCCTTGGCCTCAGGCTGCAGGACAGCATCCCCATGCCTGGTGGGGTGAGCCCCATGGAGAGGACAAAGGGGTCCCCTGGAGCCCCTTCCCCACTTGCACCCACATCCTCACACTCCCCAGTGGTGCAGAGGCTCCCTGCCCACCCACAGACTCAATGCACCAGCACAGCTGGGTCAGAAAATCGTCTGCAGACCTGCAGATGCAATGGGATTAGTTCTACCTGAGCAGGAGCACGGGGAGGGAGCCAAGCCCGTGGGTTCCTCCGGACTGTCCTGATGCTCCTCACAGGCAGAAGACAGCATGAGAGAGGAGGCAGTGAGGGGAGCCCTGTGGGCAGGCAGGAGTTTTCAGAAACGCTTTTTCATTCTCACTAAATCCTCTATCCAAACCTTTCCCTTTTGCTAAAAGTCTTTGCAAACACTAGCAAAACCTTTCCCGTTAATCTTTCTCCATCTCGCTAAAACAACACAGACTGTCTGTCTCCAGGGAAGGCTGTCACAGGATATGGGGGAGGAATCTATCATTTGTAATGTACGGAAATATAACTTACATATATCAAAGGCATTTGCTGCAAAAAAAAACAAATACGCAGCAGAGATTGGGAGGCCAAACCCTCATTGCCTTCAAGCTACTGTGCTTAGCAATTGTGTGAGCAACAGCCTGAGCAAACCCAATTAATTTGATTTGTAGATTGCACAGATTAGCAATTGTGTTCCAGTGGTAAATCCCACAAGGAGCCCCTCTTGCTTACATTTCTGTACAGCTCCTCATTTGTTACCCAAATATGTGAAGGCACCTATCTAAATCCCTTCCATTTATTTACTGCCAGGTCTGTAGCCCTGGCTCCCAACAGCACCTCCCAACCAGGATCTGTCCAGATCTCTGCAAACTTTAGTTCTGAAAACTCTCCAGTGTCCATGTCAGGAATATAAGCAAAAACCTTGACCCTGAGGCACTGAGTGGCTCAATAGAGCTGTTTACAGACAGTCTGGAACACAACTGAACTGTCTGTAGGACGCTCTTTCTGCTGGGCTTCACCAACCATGCCAGGTTCTGCACCCTCCAACACCTCTGGCTTGATCCAAATTTAACATTCAAGCGGTTCAGATGCAAATGTGAGACCCTTTGCATGGTAACAACCCAAAAGAGGGCCATCTAAGCAAAAAGAAACACCCGAGTCTGAAAACTGAAAAATGCTGTATGACTTTCGGTTAGAGTGAAAATTATTCTTTCAGCTTTATGAGCAGTTATCTCTCAAGTAAAAATGCCTGATGAAGAAGTATATAGTCAAACCTTCATGAGATTCTAGTAATGTTTGTTTAAAACCAGAGATGTCCCTTTAAAATGAGATCTGTGAAGCTAAAATAAAGTAAAACCAAAACAAATAAACCAGTGACGACAGAGGGGTAGGGAAAGCTTTTTTCCTAGGTTTTTAGTACTGTATCTACCAAAGAAACATGTTCTGCTGGTTGAAATAAGAAAAGCAAGATTCTACTGATATTGACTGGATTTCAATATTTCTAAAAACACGAGCACTTCATAAATACACTGAAATATTCTGTCATCGCCAGACAGAACATGCCGGTTTTCTATAAATATAGACATCTGGCAGTGGTTTCTTCTACTGCTACAGATTTCTGGTGTGAAGAATGCTATTTTGTAAGCAAATGCATGTTGGAAATTAATTTCGTATGCAACAGGTTACATTAAAGAGCAAGAAAGATTTGCTGGGTAGAAGCACGTAACAAAACCAGTGTTGCCATGTCGCTTCTGACCCTCTCTATGAGGTTTGTGTGTCATGCCTTCACAATACTGTAGGCATAAAATATGCTCCTCCAAGCAGTGCTCTGAAAATTAATTAAAGCATGCCCACAAACTGCACTGAAATTTGAAAAGGGGACTTAGTTTGGCGTTGTAATTCCAGCCATGGTGAAACGCCACTGACAAAGCGATGAATATTAAATATCAGCAAGTAACAGCCTGCTTGGTACAAAGCACCTGAGGGGTACCACAGGCAGCAGCCAGGTATATAAAATCCAGTGCTGCAGGGCTATGCCATGAGTTTTAGATGTTCCTTTTTTTTTTAAATAGGATTTCCAGTCATATCTATGTCCTAATCTGACCCGTGGTACAACCATCCACAGAGTTGCATCAGACAGAAGGCAAGATATTAGGAAGAAATTCTTTCCTGTGAGGGTAGTGAAGCACTGGAACAGGTTGCATCATCTCTGGAAGTGGTCAAGGTCAAGTTGAGAGGGAAACCTAGTGGAAGGTGTCCCTGCCCATGGTAGGGAGTTGGAACAAGAGGGTTTTTAAGGAGTCTTCCAACCCAAACCAGTCTAGGATTCTATGATTCTACAAAACTGGGGACACATGGGGTCATTACAAAGAGGTGAGCATGGAGGCAACACCTTACTTCACTAAGGTCTCTCACCTGGGCTAAAAATGATCCCTAATATCTCACTCTAAGGGGGACAGAAGACATCTCTGTGTAAGGGCATGGGCTGTTTTCCATCCACATCTGCTTTGCTCTACAGACTCCCTATTACAAAGTTATTAGCATCAGCAGATAGATCAATTTCTGACTGGAAACTTTTCCCTTCTGGTTAACATAAGCCAAGCGTAAACACTCCCTCAGAGGTTAACAAAAGCCAGCAGCCCAAACAGGGACAACTCTGCAAGAAAAGGGGAGTGGGAGTCAGGGGGAAGTTGAAAAGACAATTAATCACAGGTTTTCATACACCTTTACACATTCCTGCCAGTGATCAGGCATTTAGAGTGACTCTGTATTTCTTCTCACCCCCTTTAAACCCTGTTTTAGGGGGAGTATTTTCCAAGTGGAGACATCAAAACAACAGATCCCAGAGGCACCCTCAGCATCCAGGCTCCACTGCCCACCTTCCCCACTCCCTTCAGTAAACACCACTAATTCCCCAGCTCCATCAGACCTTTTTTTCCTTCCAAATCAACCTAAAAGCATTTTGCTACTAAAGACAAAGAGAAAAGCAGGGGGGACCCACTAAACCCAAAGTCTCCAGACAGCTCTCAGCGTCTGTCAAATGCTTGCTAAAAAATCCAAATAAAGAAAAACCCGAGCAGCCTTGATACCTTGTGTTATCTTTGCAGGCTGGCTGCTGCCTTATCAGCTCTGACAGAACCCAGCATGTAAGAAAAATTCAGTAGTCTTTGGGTGGAAGTTAGTTCCTAAAAAAAACATGCAGTCAAATTGCTGGAAGTTGGTGCAAGAGGAGAGGGTGAGTGGGTAAGAGATGGTCTGAAAGCCCCCACTATCGTCTTGCTGTTCCCTCTCAGGAAATACCCTGCCATGTAAGGTTTTTAATTATTTGTTCATAATTCACTCCTCACATTTCACACCCACTGCACAGGCCAAGAGCTACAAGGGTGAACAATGGCTCGAAACGCTGCTTGCTCACAGTAGGAATGAGAATGGAATGGAACTGGGAGAGAATCCAGGTAAAGTCACCAGCTCTTCATACCAGGTTTTCAAGCTCATCAGAAATGGATGAAGATATTCTGATCGCTACCGATGCTGGTCATAAATGCCACTGTCCTGATGGGGAGGATAAAGAGGTTTTGTCCTCATCTTCACTTCTAAAATAGATGCTCTTTTTGGATAAAGTCTCCTTGGAAGAATTTGGATGTTAGGGAGCACTTCTTTCATGAAAAGCAAAAGTTCTGTTTGCTCTCACACCTACCTCACCGTGCACTGTGCATTTTGGCAGCCACCTCACACAGGAGCTGGACTTCTCCTGTGCAAACACGTGAAGGTCCTGCTCTTGAAAAAGTTATAGAATAGTTACAAAACACCTTTGCTTGACATTAATTGATGGGTAGAAGGAGTTAGCAAGAGAAGAGCTGTCTCAAGGCCAAGGGTTGCTTTTCAGAGCTGTGTTTGTAATGCAACAGAGGGAACAGCTGGGGGAAGGAATCAGCCTTTTGTCAACCCCAGAGGGAAGGACAGACAGACAGACATTCCCTGGGGAGCTGCCCTGGCATTATAAGCCACTCTGATAGAGGGTGAGTGGCTTTCTACATCTGACCTGACCCTTTCTCCCTCTGAGAGTTCTCTCAAGTTTTCCTCAACAGCTAACAAAACCTGAAGTGACACAGCTGGGCTCCCAGAATTACCCCTTTATTTTATTTGCAAGTTTTGCCCAAGATAACACTGCAGGGCAAGCAGAGGAATAAAGCAAAGGGAACTCCAATAGTGGAAGGCCCTCAGCAAGTATTTCTTTAAGTACAAGCAACCCCCAGGTGCTTGAAGTATATGCCTAAACATTTGGAAAAATGGTGTCTGAGAACAGAGACTTCTCTAGTTGCAAAATGGCATTGAAATCCTTGGGTTTGGACCTCCCCTTGTGTGCCTCCAGTGTTGTGCTACATGGGTTTTATTGGATCCAAACTGGGATGAATTCAAATAGATGTGTCATACACTATTTTCCGTGTTTTATTTGACTTTAATTACTTCTTAACAGTACTGCTGTTTGAAAAATCTTTCTCAATTGAGGGTGTTGGTTCTGCCTAGGGCTGCCTGGCCCTCTTCCACTGAAATGCCCTTTCAACAACCACCAGAAGCTTTTGCAAGGAAAATGAAATCTTTTGGAAGATCTCTTTTTCTGTAACTGTATGAAAACTTGTCTCTCTCAATTCTCTTTCCTTCTCACAGATTCTAGGTTGGTTGTTTTTTCCACCTCTCCAGAAGGTGGAAACCTGTGGTGGGTTCCAGCAGGCTCTGGAACAACACCTGGGAGCAGTCAGACCTTTTTGGTGGCATAGATGAAAACACTTTGATGATGACGAGGATGCTAATAACAGTAATAATGCTTGAATAATCTGTGTCATTTTTTTTTCCATTCCAGGACTTTTGATGGTTGTTTCCATAAAAAATAAGCATGGTGAAATGCCATCTCCCCCTGAAGTCAATGATGCCTTGTGCCCAGCAGAGAGGGGACAACTGAACTTGCAGTTCAGGCAGATGAACTGTGGTGGGTGTGCAGTGCAAGGCTCCAGCTTGTGCATGGACAAATGTTTGCATCTGTTTCACCTTGGGCACTGAAACAAGGTCTGGGGACAGAATTATTGGCCTGGTGGGTCGGTATTGTAACAGCAGCAAGAAATCCTTATCAGGGCAGCATCTGCTTTGTACAGGGTGCAAAGGTACCTCAGCATTCTGAAGGGAGAGGCCCTTTGTCAGAGGAAAACAAAGTCTCTATCCAAAGAGCTGCTGCATTTAACACTGTAGCTGTCCTTCCTTCTGAGTTTGACAGCCCTTACCACAACAGCAGTGCTTTGGTGCAATGAGGACTTCCAGGCACTAACCCCAATCTAAAAAAATAATAATAATAAAATCACACCAGCTATCATAACAACTTTGCCTTATGCTGTGCTCATCATACCAACCAAAGCCACTGCTCACTTGCTGACCTCCTCTCCCAGAGCAATATTAAATATCTCAGATGTTGCCATCCTCCTCAAGCTCTGTCTTGTAAATACCCCCCAACACATGCCACAGACTGAAAGCCCTGAGTCAGTTTTAACACAGGGTTAATTACAGCAGAAAACCTGTTCAATTACTTTGTAGCATTTTTCATGTCTCTCAGACAAGTTACTGGGTTTGCAGTTTGGGGTTATTTCCCACTTCATAGTATCTGCCTTTCCCTTGCAGAGGTAAAAGGGAAAGCACCTGTATATACACAAAGAAAAAGATCCAAATCAAAGCACCATTAAAATTCATTCAGGGTTATTCCTTGCTGCTGTTATTTCAGTTAGTGTCTGATAACTAAGCTGTTCCCTTTTTTTCTTTCAAACACTTGTCTCAGTTAAAGTCTGATGCTGTTTTTCCTTCTGGAGAAAGAAACCCCAGAGATGTATTTTCAACCTCCCGGCTCAGTGTTTCCCAGTTATTTTAAATCAGGGACAGTTGCCAAGATTCACATTTTTCCCCTCACACTCTCAGCCTAAAGCCATCACAGATCCAGGGACGGACCCTGGAGTGGTTTTTACAGCACTGTTCCTGCTGTCCTTCTTGCAGCCCATGAGCCAGCATGGGAACCTACACTTGTCCATCTCCATTGCCCAAGAGGGACCCATTGTCCAGGTAAGAGAAGGTTTGGCAGATTTTAAAACATATTTAAGAAAAAAAAAAACAAACTTTATCTTTCAATAGGTAGAGTTATTGAGTTCCAGGTTTTGATTCTCACACCTGTACCTGAGTTTAGTCTTCCAAGGCAGAGTAACTCAGAAGGTTAGACATGTGTCAATCATTCCTGGACAGAACTCATGCACCACGTCTCACTGGCCAACATAAACAGCCCCTTCCAGAAATCCCCTGAAAGTGTTGTTGATGCAGCCCTGCTGTGTTACCTGTTTAGCCTGCTGGCTCTGTTACTCTCCTTGGAAAAATATTTTCACCCACAGGGAATATTTTGCCCAAGCTGTTTTCTCTGCCTTATTTCTGCAATCTGCTGAAATGGTGTCAGTAGTCAGAAGTTTTGTAGAGACAAAGCCAAGCCTGAGGAGAAACTTGTGGGTGACATCCCTCATTCACCTTGTCTCCAGGGTGGATGGACAGTGTGCCTGGAGCAGGGGGAACACCTGGTCACCAGCAGCACTGGTTGTAGCCACCTTTGCTGCCCACTGTGCTCCTCATGGAGCAGCTCCTTCCTTGCAGCAGGCAATGCCATAGGCAGCAAACAAATGCTGACAGAATGAACTTGCCATTTTCCATTTCACCAAAATGATCCTTCTGCCTCAGGAGACAGAAGCAGAGACAGAGGAAGGAAGGTGTCACCCATTTCCCTACAAAGTACTCCAGATTTCAGGGGATCACTGAGACAAACAGAAAACTGTCACTATGCAGAGTGTGAAAGAAGCAATCTCCCAGTGCAGAAGGTCCAGCAATGCACTACCCCCAAGCTGAACCAAGAGCCAAATATGACTTTTCAGTCTTCACATTCACTGCCCCCAGGCTATGTTACATTTTGTCCTGTGGACCTTGGTGCATTTGAGATTCCTAAAGAGTCATTTTATAAATGTTCCCATAAATATCCAGTCCTTCAAAGTACTGAGTCTTCCTGCCATAAGTGGGAACAGAAGAAAGGACTTGCTGCCTGTGGAGACACTGTGATATTCCACAAGCACAGCCCATGCTCCTCTAAGAATTTACACCATCACAATTTTTTCCAGGTTGGCTTCCTGCCCAAGTTTCCTCCCCAAAACATCCACAGCAAGGTCAGAGGAGCTCTCCCCCAGCACAAGGGAGTTACCAGGCTGGGAGCAAAGGAGGACAAGGATGGGCCAGTGAGGGGGTCAAGTTCAGTCATCTTCAGCTGCCATGAAATCACACCTGAGAAGGATTTACTGCCAGCATCTGAGCGGCTGCAGTCAGGCAAAGGAAGGGGGGTCCTATTTGTGCATCTAATGACCCAACTTAGCAGGACAGAAACCAAGTGCTTGACCTTTCTCAACATCATGTGAAGCAAATGCTCCATATGACACGGCTCCAGCATTATCTACCAGGCACAGGTGCACGACTGCAATTAGAAATGACCGGCATTTCACACATAACAGCACCTTTCAACCCAACTCAGCCCATCCAAAACCACTCTGAGCCTCAATTACCATTTTCTTCCCACCCAGCCTCCCCAGCTCCTGCAGCACCAAATAATTCCCCGTGAAGTCTCACAGCTGTTATTTGAAAATCAAACTGGAAGTCGCGACACCTCGCTGCACGCTGGTGGATCTTAGACTTGGCATTTGGTTTATCCCGACACCATTCCTCACCCCCATCCCTAAACCAACTTCCGCGGAGAACAATGCCGCCCGTCTGTGTCCACAGCAGATTTATTCCCCCCTTCCCAGCAGCTCACAACGCCCACACCTTCAAGGGGCAGTAGCTGCTTGAAGCAAAGGGTTCCTTCTGGTTTCTGGAAAGAAAAGGCTGCCCTCTATAATCAGGGTATTGTTCTCCATAAATGGAGCCAGACTCTGTAAACACTCTGCGCAGCGCTGGGAGGGAGAATGCCAGCGTGTGTATACATACATGTGGGGAATGTGTCTTGTTCTAAACAACAGTAAATTATGTTAATTCATTTCCTCTGCCTAAACAGTGCTAATAAGCTTCGGGAAAGGAGGAGGAAAAAGTAAACAAGAGTCCATTACAAAAAGGTGAGGGGGAGAGGTAACCAAATAACTCCACCAAATGTCTCCTCTGTGGAAGGACATTCACGTTACAGCTCGGACAGGCTTCACACAGCC